CCACTGAGATTGTGAGCCAATGCAAAGTCTGCCGTTTAAGCATAGGCAGCCACTTCTATAGCAGCAAGCAGTGATTCCCAGGTTCCAGCCTGATTTCTCACGGCGACCGAAGATTAACACAGCAGAGTGGGCTTCCGACACTCCCAACAGCCCCAAACTCTAAGCGTTTGACGAGCAGAGGGTTTGGGGGATGAGCCGAGGCTGTGGTTGACGCCCATGCTGCAAATACTAGAAGATAATGCCCACGACTAGACTGGGGGAACAGCCGCTGTTGCCCGCTTGCAGGCGCACGACCAGCAGGAACGTTCGGCCAAAGCCCACAGCGAGGCGCCTCCTCGAAAGTTGCTCAGGCTCTTCGGATTTCAGGGTTTCACTTGAGCTTGTTTCTTTTGCCCTGTGTCAGCCCGGCACACAGGCCAATCCAGAGGGCCTTGAAGAGCTCAAGCCACCGAAATCTGCTGCACCGTGTTAGGTTCGGGCTCAAGTTCAGCATTTCTGTGAACATGTGCACCATCCAGTCAGCCACCCACACGGGGCATTGTAGACCTAGGGCCCAAGGGCTTGAATGGGCCGAGTCATGCGCGCTCGCAGCCAGGCGATGTCGGACAACATGGGCATGTGCGCCGGCCCTTTCTTCAGGGGTAGGTTTGAGCACAACTTTCCAATTTTTATTACTCTTAAGCCCTTTATAATCCTTAAAAGGGCCCCCAAACCTACCCCAGTCTTCACAGACCCAGATTTGCTTTGAAGCCGCTGTACTTCCCGGGCCTCCAAATCATCCCCAAAACCCTAAACCTGGCACCTCAGACCCTGCAAACTTTCTTCCTCTCAAGCGCTTGGCGTGCAGACGGTTGGTAAGGTTTAGGGTTTAGGGTTCAGGGTTCAGGGTTTAGGGTTTAGGGTTTAGGGTTTGGGGTTTCGGGTTTAGGGTTTATGATTCATGGTTTACTGTTTAGGGTTTTAGGGTTTAGGGTTCAGGGTTTAGGGAGGCAGGACTGGCTTGGAACACGCGGGCATTCCGCACCTCACATCCCAAGTATACAAGCAGCAGGGCTTCGTCCTTCCTTTCGCAGTTGGACTACGCAAACGAAGACCCCAAGCCATCTAAACAGTGCAAAGACCACAATGGACCATAAAACTCTAAACCCTAAACCCTAAACCCTAAACCCTAAACCCTAAACCCTAAACCCTAAACCCTAAACCCTAATCCAAGTGCACCCAAAGCCTTCGTATGTGATGTGTGCCGCAAACGTCGACTTTTGGAGCCCTCAGGGTCCGGTGGACGCACGAAAGGATCCAAACTACACTTCACAAGCAGCAGCCTTTCCACAGGGCCCGGTAGACTTGAAATTCTTCTAGGAATCTGTTGGACCAGCGTGCTTTGAACTTTCATTGCCTTTTGAGGGGGTAGAGTAGCAGGGCCCACCTCCAATCTGGGCCATGCCCCTGGCCCGAGAACTGCGAGGTATGGGGAGCTCCACACGTCGTTGGATCAGAAGGCCTGTTCCAGGTATTCAGCTCCTGAAAATAGCCTTACGGTGACTTGCATGAAGTAGAGGCGAGGGGGAACCACGCCACCATAGCGTCGTCGGGCCTACAAGACTTGATTCCCGGGCCAGGGTTACGTCTTGACAGTCGCTGGTCGGGGTTGCGACTATTCCTGAAGAGCAAACTTTAAATGCTCTCGAAGTTATCCTGTCTCGACTTGGCGAGTGTCTGAGAATTTCTAGCATTTCTGCTTCCTTCCCCTAGAACTCCGAGTTAACATGCAAGGTTTATGTCGCATACCGCATACCTTTATGGCTTGGGCTTGGGGGCTTGGGTGATTTGGAGTTGGAGGACTCGGCCGTTATGCCTGAGGGTGTAGCCGGGCTTCGAGAGCGCAAGACACTGAAGTAGCTGAAGTACCCACGCCAGACCGAAGGGCCGAGCCGGCGAAGGGTACACTACATTCTCGCTCTCTCAAAATTCTTGAAGATCCCACCTTGAGTGGACTCGTGTCAGTTTTTCCCTGAAGGTGTCAGACTTGAGAACCCTAAACCCTAAACCCTAAACCCTAAACCCTAAACCCTAAACCCTTTTCCCGGGGTTCAGGTGTCTACAGGCTTTGAGGCTCAGAGCCCTCTAACGCTGAGAGCAGGTCAAGACTTCTCAGCGACTCCTGGACAAGCTCATGCACCGAGCCCACTTCTCAGTACTCGAAACAGCACTCGAACCTGAGCTCTTGGGATATTTAGGGTTTAGGGTTTAGGGTTTAGGGTTTAGGGTTTAGGGTTTGGGATGTTTCCTTCTCATACTAACAGTGCCTTAACAGGGATAAGGCAGGGGGTACCATAATCCCTACTGAGATCCCAACTGAGCTCCAAAGGAGGAAGCCGCTCTTAAGTGAGTCTTCAAAAAGCAGCCAGATGAGTCCCTGGCAAGCTCAACCCTTGCAACCCGGAACCTTAAACCCTAAACCTTAAACCCTAAACTAAACCCTAAACCCTAAACCCTATAAGGCTTCAACTTGCAGGTTCAGGGTACTGATATCTCCACTTTATGAGTGCACTTAGAAGCCCCCAAAGTCCTCTAAGTAGGTTACAAGTAGACTGATATTTGTGGTTATGAGTACCCATGAAACACACAGGAAGAGGCACGTAACGTCCCCTCGTCCTCAGGCCTAGCATCGATTTAGCCGAAAATGTTTAGGGTTTAGGGTTTGGGGTTTAGGGTTTAGGGTTTAGGGCACAGAGTCCTGCTCATCACCCCGGTTTCTTTCGAAGTGGCCTGCTGTGCAGTTTTGAGTCCTCCGCGCAAGCATCTACGAGTCCCAGACAGCCCCAAGCCCAACCGAACCCTGGAAGCTTCAGGACTCGGACTTGGACTTCTTTTTTCCATGATCACTACAGCAAGGGCCATGTCCATCCTTGGAGCCACTATCGGTTTAGGGCTCCGGGAAGAGTCTCTTGAAGGGACACGCCCATAGTCAGTAGGCCTAAGTTGGAGTGGGGTCTGCCATATTGTGGACAGGAGAGCTTCCCACTGAAGCATGCTTCGTTGCAAGGCGCAATCCGTTGAGAATTCCCTGCAGCACACGAGGCCGCGACTGGAGGGTTTGGGGGGGGCGACCAGGCTTTTCGTGGGTCCCTGGTGCATGGGTTAGTTCAAGATCTCAAGAACGAAAGCTTGTATGAGGTTTGGGGCTCTCTTGGCCTTTCTGCAGGGAAGGGGTCCGGGCTTCTGAGCGTGCTACCATATCGCCGCAGAGGGAACCCTAAACCCTAAACTCTAAACCCTACGCTGCTAGTAGAAGAAGCCCAAGGCCCGCCTTCGGTCGAAGGACGTACCGAGCTTGAAGCCGCCCCCCCCTCGAGGGTTTAGGGTTTAGGGTTTAGGGTTTAGGGTTTAGGGTTTAGGGTTTAGGGAAGAATTCCTGCGCTCCTAGCATCTTGGTAATCTTGAGACTTTGACAACCCGAAAGCGTACGTCCCAAGGCCCAAGCCTGGACCCCGAGGGTTTAGGGTTTAGGGTTTAGGGTTCAGGGCTCCAAAACCTTGATTGGCATCTGAACATCTCTGCAACTCAGCGGCCGCGTAGGGCGACGCTGCAGAAGCTGGAGGAAGCCCTTGCTGCCAAGGAGGGCGGGGCCTGGGGGGTTTAGGGTTTAGGGTTTAGGGTTTAGGGTTTAGGGTTTAGGGTTTAGGGTTTAGGGACATCATGAAAAGGGGTTGCGTGCAGCAGGGCCCTTGCTGCTTGCAGCCATTGTGAGGGCCGTTTATCAGATTGACACAGACAGTAGGTCTCGATGGGGTGGTGGTGCACTTGGGGCCACAGCCTCAACCATCAATTTGCTTCGGGTGTCCAATGTGCTGGCACCGTTGCGCATTCACAGGGTTCTGCGGCTTCCCGGCGAACCTTCCGACATGGAGGGCCTGCGCCCCCCCTCCCCCAAGCTCTGTTTAATAGCGCAAGCTTGCTTCAAAACTTTTCGCGCCATCGGTAGACATTCCTTGAAAAAATTGCTGCGCCCCCAACCTCCCAGCTCTCTTGAGGGCTGCAAAGTTATCCAAGAATATCGCGCTGTCAGCGAGAGCAGATGGAGCGAATGAATCAAAGAGCCTTTTCCAAACCCATCACGCAAGCGCTTTGTCCCCACCCCCCGCCCCCCCTTTAAGCAGTGCAAGCTGGCTTGCGCCGTCAGTGGGCGTTCCTTCAATCCATCATGTTCTGCAAATGCGGGGGGAGCTGCGCCCCAAGCACTATCAAACAATCAGCGAAAACATGCTAGGAATTTAGAGCAGACATGACAAATAGAATTTCATTTATGTTGTGTGCTTCTTTTCGGAGAAGATTTCATCGACCAAGCTCCTTTGTGGGAAAAAAACTTGTTCGCGACCATGAATGGCTGCTGAGAGAAGTTCGGACGAAGCAACAGTGATTCGATGAATGTTCTACATGTTCAGATTTCTAGGCCAACAACATGTCAGTCGCTTAGACCACAAATGCGTCCCCGCCTCAATGTCAAAGCTTCTGGAGCCGCAGGTGCACCAATTGGCCCTGTGAGCCGGATGTTACCTGCAATTTTGCTTGTGGTCCCTCATTCATTTCTTTATCGACGCAATGTGACCAGGCCGAATATGATTTGCCTAGAATCCCTATATCATTGTTTGCTTTTGCTCCTTTCAAGTTTGCTCGATCCTTGTGTCTCTCTTTCACAAGTTGTTGGTTGTCCAGCCTGTTGCAAAGGGGCGCCGAACACCAGAAACGCTGTATGTTCCAAGACAAGCTCCGCCTCACCTTTTGTAAAGGTTCCACCTCATCTAAAAAAGGAAGGTTCGTCGCACCTTTACAACAACCTTCTGCCTGCCTTGGGATGTTCACAGTTTGCAGCATGTTCCAGCAACCACGTCGTAGAGGTCGTCCAGCGTTCGTCCAGGCACATGCGCGCACCCTAAACCCTGAACCCTAAACCCAAAACCCCATCCCGTCACTTGCAGGAAGCTCCACTAGCGCTCTGCATGTGGCGGATGGAGCAGCGTGAGCGACGACCTCTTCGCGAGCAGGCCGAATATAACAGTATAAGAATACAATAATGTAGTAGCGTAGCAGTATAACTCGGTTTCACCACTTTGGGGTTTGGTTTGTGGAACGTTTTAGGCGGCCTCCACATGCTGCGAGTCATGTATGCTGGGACCTTGGGGATACCTAGATACCTAAGCCGCGAAACCCAGATAAACAGTAATTTTGTGGGGTGAGTCTGGCTTTCGCTAGGCTAGACATGCACATGGCTGGGTGAGACAGCGCGACCCCTGCTGCCAGTGTTGGATGGTGGAGGGAGGTTATTGCCATTAAGCGGGGAGGTGGCCTTCGTGGTTGACAATGGCTTTGCGGCACATAAGCAGAATGTGGCGGGCGGCCTCATGCCACTTAGTGCTTGCATCTTGTTCGCCGTGTGCAGGACATGGATTACTGTGCTGCGGGTACAAAGACTCCACCGACTAGACATTGACAGCGGCCTTTGCAGAGCGTGTCGGTCGTTCGTTTGCTACAGTTTGGGACACGAGCGGAAATGCTGGTTTGGCATGGCATGGGACAGGGGTAGGTTGTCGTCTGTCGGCTGATGGCGTTTGCCTTCCTGAATGGTCGTGTCGCGTGTCTGAAGCCCAACAAAACATGTGGTACGGGATTTCTTCGCTGGGAAGTGCAAGATTCCCCGTGCCAACCTGATGCACCGCCCGGTGACCCCGCCCCTGGCCGCGCATTCGTAGCATCTGCTTGCTGTTAGATCCCTAAAGCTGCTGAAGCTCCGAGAGACCTCTCTGCACCGAGATCCAGCATCAGGTTCGCGACACGGTGGAAGTCTGCCTCGAGGCCAGGGTTGAGTTCCTTCCGAGCTCGGGCCTTCGGATGCTTAAGGCATTGGGGCGTTTCGTGTGCTCGGCTTGAGATGGCTTGGCGATGGTTGGCGGTTTAGGGATGTGGAACTTCATCAGGGGAGGTTCCCGGCACTTCTGGATGTCTTGAGGCTCAGTTCACCCCCCCCCCCCCCCCCCAGATTTGGCTCAGCTTCAATACTCAGCAGGCATCTTTAATGCCACTACGGACTTGGTCTTACACAAGCGCATGCGGATTCCAATACGTAAAATTACAAGTCGCGACGTGGCTACCGAGGTCCACGGAGACCTCGTTTCGACTTGCGTTGGGGCCAACTTACATCTGATGCGCTATAGAGTTACTATACAATAGTAACTATATATTATACAGGTATTGTACTATATTGTAGTATACACAAGCCTTTGATTCCCTTTTAACAAAAGAGTCCCGAAAGACGACACCTTCAGGATCCGGAGGTCAGCCCGACACAGCCCGTCAGGTGGAGAAGGCTACGCTCATCGACGCCCAGCGTAAGCTCAAGGACTGCGTGGTAGCCAAACTCTGATCCGGTAATATCGGGGAAGGGGGGAATAATTTCCAGTAGTATTCCCGTATGGTCCCTTCATAGCCATAGGATAATGTTAACAACCCCCAAACCCTTACCAATTATGCTAATTATGCTAATATTTGAGGCCCCTATAGTACTCAAATGGACTTGAAAACAGAATTGGCACCGGCTCAGATGCTAGATGGGCACTGCCGGGCACTGTCGGGTCTTCGCCAGTCACTTGACGCGCACCGACTCCTCCTTTGGATACTTGTACTTAAACATAGGGTTTAGGGTTTAGGGTTTAGGGATCTTGGTCAGTCTAGTGGTAGGCTTCACTTTCAGGACTCCATCAAGAAGACTCGCGCGACGATTGCAGCGTTGGAGAGTTGCTACCTCAGGGCATTGGGTTTGGGGTGTCTCATGCCACTTGCACCGGGTCTCATGAATGTCAAGCAAGATCAAAGACGTGAAGATGTCAAGCAGACAAGTTTCTCCTATACAGCTTAGATTCTTCCAAGATATTCCAAGCAATGCTTTGCCTGCGCATCTAGTACCAGCGGCCTTGCTACCTGTGTGTACCAAAACCCTAAACCCTAAACCCTAAACCCTAAACCCTAAACCCTAAACTGCACCCGAAACAATTCCTGGCTTCAGCTCCCCAGGCAAGCTCGAAGAGCTGCGCCATGACATTCAGCAGAAGACGCAGGTGCCCATTCCTGGCCGTGTTCCCGCCATGCCCCACCGGTTTAGGGTTTAGGGTTTAGGGTTTAGGGTTTAGGGTTTAGGGTTAGGGTTTAGTATTTAGGGTTTCCGAAAACAGGGGTACTGTGTGTGGGGGTCCCTTTACGGGGGTTCTATTCTATTTTGGGGTCTACAAGGGGTAGCCCTCTTGTGGGAGATACCCATATGGGTGAGGCCTACGAAGCCAAACATGTCGTGTTGATCTTGTGTGATCTTTTGGGGACGGTTTCGTGTTTCGGGTTTAGGGCTTAGGGTTGGCTCTGAGCGCTTGCGCTTGTACAACGTGCTGCCGGGCGAATGAAGGGACCGGCACACAAGCATGGAGACTGGAGACATGACTTTGGTGGCCCCTAGCATCCTCGCATTTTGCAGTATTGCTGTTTCGTCGGGTAGGAAGTGGGTGCTGGATGGCAGGCACTGAGAGTTGGAGACAACACGGTGATGCAACGAGTTTATACTTGGATTGGCAGTTTGATCTCTTCGAAAGCATCCGACATGCAGGCTACATGTAGGCCAGGGGAAGTGTCAGGGAGATTGAAGACCCCGGCAATCTGAAGGTAAAGGAGATGGGATAGGGATCAAAAAATAAAAAAGGATCAAAAAGAAAATAAAAAAGGATCAAAAAAAAAATAAGGCCGCGATCGACGACCCTCTCACACGAAACGCGTCTCGAGACGCCAAAACTCGAGTTTTGGTACGTTTTCAGAGCACGATTGACGACCCTCTCACACGACACGCATTTCGAGGCGCTAAAACCCCGAGTTCTGACTCTTGGCTTCACGGCTTCTTGGCTTCTTGGCTTCTTGGCTTCTTGGCTTCTTGGCTTCCTGGCTCTCCTCGGCTTTTAGCTTTATGCTTCTTGGCTTCTTTTTTTAAGTCGCACAAGCTTGCTTCAACGCATACACGTGTATCGAAAGCCATGGTGCGAGGATTGTGTTTGCAAATGGGGGGGGCTGCGCCCCCCCCAACCCCCCCGCTTTTTAAGTCACGTAAGCTTGCTTCAAAAATAAGCGTCTGTTCGACAATAATGATGCGAGCATTGTGTTTGCGTGTGTGGGGGCGGGGGGGGGGGAGGGCTGCACCCCGCCTTTACCAGACCCCCGCTTTTTTAAATCGCGCAAGCCTGCTTCAAAGCCTACGCGTCTCTTCGAGACCCATGATGCGAGCATTGTTTGCAACTGGGACTGCTACTATTACTACTACTACTACTATTACTACTACTACTACTACTACTACTACTACTGCTGCTACTACTACTACTACTACTACTACTACTATTACTACTACTACTCCTACTACCACTACTATTACTACTACTATTATTATTATACTACTACTACTACTATTACTACTACTACTACTACTACTACTACTACTACTACTACTACTACTACTACTACTACTACTATTACTACTTCTGCTACTACTGCTACTGCTGCTATTACTACTACTACTACTACTACTCCTACTACTACTGCTACTAGTACTACTATTACTACTACCACTACTACGACTGCTGCTGCTGCTCGTACTACTATTATTATTACTACTATTACCACTATTATTACTATTACTATTACTACAACTATTACTACTATTATGATGACTACTATCACTATTATACACTTATTATTACTACTACTAGTATTACCATTACTACTACTACTACTACTACTACTATTACTACTACTACTACTATTACGATTATTATTACTACTATTATTACTACTACTATTATGATTATTACTACTACTACTACGTACTACTACTACTTCTATTATTATTACTACTATTATTATTACTACTATTATTATTATTACTATTATGATTATTACTATTATTATTATTAGTATTATTACCAGTACTACAATTATTATTACTACTGCTATTATTATTATTACTACTACTACTATTAGTATTACTACTATTATTCCTACTCCTACTCCTACTCCTACTACCACTACCACTACTACTACTACTACTACTACTACTACTACTACTACTACTACTACTACTACTACTACTACCGTACTACTACTACGATTACTATTACGATTACTACTACGATTACTATTACGATTACTACTACTACTACTACTGCTACTACTACTACTACTACTATTATTACTACTAGTACTACTACTAGTACTGGACCTACTACTACTATTATTATTACTATTACTACTTACTACTACTACTACCTATTACTATTATTACTACTACTACTACTACTACTGCTACTACTACTACTGCTATTACTCCTACTACGACTACGACTACGACTACTACTACTACTATTATACTACTACTACTATACTACTATTACTATACTACTACGATTATATTATTACTATTACTACTACTACTACTGCTACTACTACTACTACTATTACTACTATTGTATTTATATTATATTTTGTATTTTATATGTAATTTAGTATAATTGCATTATTATGTATTTTATATTCGAATTAGGTCTTAGATATTAAGTATCATAATATAAATATAAATATAAATAATATATATTATATATTATTATATTTTATTATATAATAATATATGTATATATATATATATATGTATATTATTATACATATTTATTGAATGCTTATATATTAGACATTAAATATTAAGTATTATTTATTCTATGTTTTGTACTATAAATGAAACAGTTTGTATTATATGATACTATATCATAAACTATTATCTTATAGTATATCATAAACTATTATATTATATTACATTATATTATATTATTTCATATGTTTTATAATGTATTTTATATGATATCTTATATTATATCCATTTTTATATATTATATTCTATTGCCGTTTGTTTTTTTCAATATTTTATTATATATTCCATGATAATGTTGTACATGATATATTATGTTAAAATTAATATGAATCATACTAATATTGATATTAATAGAAACATAAATATGAATAAAATAAGTATAGATATGCAGAATATATTGGTCGATCGCGTCGGGAACAACGTACCAAAACTCGAGTTTAAGCGCCTCGAGATGCGTTTTGTGTGAGAGGGTTGTCGATCGTGCTTCGAACACGTACAAAAACTCGAGTTTTCGCGCCTCGAGATGCGTTTCGTGTGAGAGGGCGGGTCGTCAATCGTGCCCGGAAAACCTTTCCAAAACTCGAGTTTTAGCACGTCGACACGCGTTTCGTGTGAGAGGGTCCTCGATCGGGTTCCGAAAACGTACCAAAACTCGAGTTTTCGTACTCGAAGTCGAAGTTTATTTTCTTTTTGATCCTTTTTAATTTATTTTTTGATCCTGGGCTGCGTTATTTTTTTTTGATCCTTTTTTATTTTTTTTTGATCCGGCAGCCAAAGGAGATGCGTGCTGCGTACTGTAGAGTTTCTGCAGCCGGCTCCAGTATGATCCAACCACTCCCACATCTAGAATTAAGAACTCAGGACAGCTGTTCATCATGAATCGAACTTCCGTGGAATTTGTATCCGGGCACCACCTCCCTCACAAGGCACTATCTGTGGATGAGCTCTGCCTCCGTACCACGTGGGGTGCTCGGTGGGGCCGGTAGGGTGTTGCGCTTGGAGATGAATATCAAAGCTGCTGTGCAGGGGCTTGATGGTGTCTGGTGGCTCCAGCCTGCAGGGATTCTCAACAGCTTCTGTGCCCTCGACCCGCCCCCCCCCACCTGCCAATCCCCCACCACATGGTACCCACCCCGCGCAAGCACACCAAGCACCACAGATGAGGCCAACCTAAACCCCCAACCCATGACCCTGCGCCTACACGACATGCTGCGAAAGTAGTACATATAGTACATAGAGGCAAATGTATCGGCGAGCTGCACAGGTCTTTCCTCGCCCGGAGGAATCACATCCTCCTAGCAAACCTAAATCCAAGAGCCCAAAAGTCTAGACCTTATGCCCTAGGACGCGCAGTTTCGACGCAACGGCAGACCGTACCGCGGCCTTCCGTCCGGGGCTTGGAGGCTTAGGAATTGAGGGTCCGGATGGCAGCGGCTTGTGAAAAAAGAAGAAGTCCTTCCTGGGTTTTTGGCTTCAGTCAGCTCCCAGAAGCGCGAGACCCCAGCAAAGCCCTCTCAGAGGGCCTAGTAAGACAGCGTGAGTGTAAGGCGCAAGGACGCATCCCTGTGTGCAACAAGAAGCTGGAAGGCTTCTTTGAAGGTCCTTAGACACGAACATACACGAACCCAAACTGGTTTGAACCCTACACTGCCTGTGTGAATTCGGCAGGCCCCTCCGTATCTTCGGGCCAGAACATGCCTCCCTCCTCGCATGCACGGCGGCGCGTCGCAGGGACGCAGCACTTTGACCGCAATGTCTCGGAGTTCTGCAGCACATGGATTCTGTAGAGTTCTGGTGGATTATGGACCCTTGGAAGGAACTTGAATGTGCCGGGATACAGGATACGGTTACAGCCTACACATTCCGGCATCGAAGAATGCGAAATGTTGCCCAGGCTGCTCGAAAGTTTGTTGACTGAGGGCCTTTGACGGTTCCCAGTTGCTTGCTGGCGGTGAGGTGTTGAGCAAGGATAGTTAGTCTTCTTGCCTCAAGTTGAGGCCAGTGTTTTTTGTGACTTTGCTTCTCTGGACACTACTTTCCTTGCTGGTGGTTTTCAGGCCCTTGGCCCACAAAGTGTTTCATCGCAGTGTCGAAGTGTTGTGTTCTCAAGAGCTCTGGAAGCATTTTACTCAATGGGTTGTGGTCGTCCATCTCCTTTCGCCCTCCAGCCCTGAACTTCCTGGAGTGCGGACTCATGCTCCTAGGGCTTTAGGGTTTTTAGGGCTTTTTTGGGGGCTTTTGGGGCTTTTACGGCTTTTGGGGCTTTTAGGGCTTTTAGGGTTTAGGGGTTTTGGGGTTTCGGGTTTGCCCTTTCCAGTTGGTTCTCCATCGAAGCAAAGGTCCCCTTTATGTACCCTCGAAAGATCGCCTCTGCAACCCATGCCAGGAGCGCACGCCATGAGGTGGCAGCGCACGAGAGTGCACGCAACGAGGCCGCTTCTTAGGGATGCTTGGGAATAGCTGTTTTTTGGCATGTTTTCGGCATGTTAGTTCCTAAGAAACAGCAGGGCCTATAGTTTTTTTTTTTTTGCTAGGGTTCCAAGTTCTGCAAAGTCTTATGGGCATGTTTTTTCATAGTTTTGGTATCCTGCCTTAGGGTCGCAAATCATAAGCTTAGAGGTATCACCTGCGTGTGCCAACTGACGGGGCTCACTTGTTTCATTTTGTATTCTGGAGAGATTTGCTCCATCCTGGTGGCTTCCCGAGCGCTTGGCTTGCGACATACCCCAAACCCTAAACCCTAAACCCTAAACTAATTGGGAGTAAAGGGGAGATGTTTCAGGGCGGTGCCGAGACCTGGCTTGCCTGGCTTTGGGAGGTTGAGTTTTGACACGGGAAATGCGATTTGGATCGCGTGCTGTTGAGACGCCTGCTGTTGTAGGGTTTAGGGTTTAGGGTTTAGGGTTTAGGGTTTAGGGGTTTAGGGGTTTAGGGGTTTAGGGGTTTAGGGGTTAGGGTTTAGGGTTTAGGGTTTAGGGTTTAGGGTTTAGGGTTTAGGGTTTAGTAACGTAGCGTGCCAGCGGGACGAATGCGCAACTTTCTCGCAGCGTTTCAACCTCAACGGGGTAAAGACACGAAGCTTGAAGCTCCAATAGCTTCAAGCTACGGGCAAAGAGAAAATGCACTAAGCCGCAACCCTGGCATGTCTTGATCAGCTCGACCCTTGTCAGTTTTCTTTTTGAACCCTAAACCCTAAACCCTAAACCCTAAACCCTAAACCCTAAACCCTAAACCCTAAACCCTAAAATTCCTAAACCCGAAAATCCGGCACCGACGCCCGAACCGCATTGCACCAGCGGGTCAGCTGCGGCCATGGCCCCGGGCGGCCGCATCGTGCGGGCACCTGGCGCTCCCGAGCAGATCCTGGAGCTGTGCAAGGCCCCGGTGATGACCGTTTTGGGGTACGTAGGGTTTAGGGTTTAGGGTTTAGGGTTTAGGGTTTAGGGTTTAGGGTTTAGGGTTTAGGGTTTAGGGTTTAGGGTTTAGGGTTTAGGGTTTAGGGGTATAGTTTTTAGGCTTTAGGGTTTAGGTTTAGGTTCATGGGTTTGGGTTGGGATGGGCTGACGGCTTTCAGAGGAGCAGGTTCTAAGTTCGGTCGGTGCCACGGATTTTCAGGGGTTCTGGGGGACTCACAAGAGAAGTTTAAGGTTTATGGTTTAGGGTTTAGGGTTTAGGGTCTGAATGAGGCGTCGCAAGTCTCTGTACACTGCTGGGCCGTTGGTGCTCGGAACTCACCTCATCCAAATCCCCGCAACTCCAGGCTTCTGAGAATCGGCAATGACGTTCTCAAATTCAATGGGGTTTAGGTTCTGAAGAGGCTTGGGCGGGATCAAATGAGCCCAGGAGGCTGACTTCAGAGAGTAAACATCGCAGTTCAAAAGCCAATCCGGTGGCGGCTGTTTAACGACCGATATGTAGCAAGCACTGTATAGGACCCTAAACCCTAAACCCCAAACATTAAACCTGGAGGATGCTCCCCTTGCTGCACGTGCAGACCCCCCCCCCCCTTTGGAGTCCGTCGTTCCAGGCCCACGCCGTGCGCTACAAATCCACCGCCACTGGACCCAGCATCGTGGTGCGGGACTCGGGCCTAGGGTTTAGGGTTTAGGGTTTGGGGTTTAGGGTTTAGGGTTTAGTAGGGTTGCAGGTGCAAGTGGGAAGCTGCTGTGGTCCATTGTCCAAGGGCCGTGGCGTTTAGAGCTTGTGTTGCAGGGGGAGGCATGATTCCCAAACAGGCTTGTGGGTGTTGTGCGCCTGGGCAGGGGACTGGCATCGGCATTCTTAGGGGTTTAGGGTTTAGGGTTTCGGGTTTAGCGGGAATAATTGATCACGGGCCTAGTCCCGTGCGCTAAGCCCCATAGACTTCTGAGCGCAGGACATTCAAGGTTTATTTGGGGAAGCCTTTCGGTTGCCTATTGGACTTCTGAGTTTAGAATTTCAGCTAGTTTCCATTTTTGAGGCCTTCTCTTCGAGAAGATCGTGAGTTTTGGACCTCGTTGTTTCCAAGCATGTTCGACCCACGTCGCAAATCGCCACTCACGAGCACATGATCCCAAGCCCAAGTGCGCGGGTACAGGTTCTGCAGTTGAAGAGGAGCTGCACACTACCCCTTCGGCAGAACGAACGCGAACATTCGTGAAATAAGAGATGCACGAAGCAATGCCGTCGGAATCTGTGTTAGAGTTCCGAAACTTCCAAAATTTTGTTTCAACTGCCTTGTTCTCGCTTCTGAAGAACGTCTACATCGTTTTCGTTTGAGAAACCTAACCATCTAAAGTGTCACCATTGAATGTTGCAAAGCAAGTTTCGGCAGTCGCCCCTTTCCACGCGTGCTTCAAGCGGACGAAAAAGAGAACAGGAAGGACACAGGGGTCGCAAGGAGTTTACTAATAGTATTCCCTTATGGCCCCTGTATAATGATACCATAATAGCCCCCCGAACCCTATACTAATTATTTAGGCCCGCATAGTAGGCAAAGTCAACAGGCGAACAACTTCTCCAACCCCTCCCCTCGCTACTCGGGGTATATGTGTTTGCCTCCTCTTCTCGGCCTTTTTGTTGCCCTAAACCTTAAATCGCAAACCCTAAACCCTCAACCCTAAACCCTAAACCCGCAGGGATCCGAGGAGAGAAAGGCCCCTTGTTGTGACTCCCACGGACAACACGAAGGAGAGGGAGGTTCCCAACCCGGAACTCTAAACCCTAAAACCCCACACCCAACGTGTCTCATACTCCTCCGGCTCTAGCTTGTGCCCCTTCCTTACATCCTTGTCAGACACAGATTCTACCGCAAAGGATAGGAAGAGAGAATGAATAGACGTGACGTAAAGCAAACTGACGCCAATCCAAGAGAAATGGCGGACTCATTCTACTCCTTCTCCGTTGGTCTTCTGTCCTCGGTTCTCTGTGATTCGTTTTGTCGCACAATGGTAGTAGGGAAGGAAGGGAGAGAAGTGAAAGCAGAGAGCAGATGAATGCCCCTAGGCCTAAGCGTATCAGAACTTAATACATTTTTTATTGTACAAGGTGTTAACCATCCTTTACATCTCCTGCTCGCTGTCCTTTTTGGTGTGCCTGCTCCTGTGTTCGCACTCATGAGGGGGACAACGACTTAGAAGCAAAGAGACGCGGTTATGTCACCCTTGTTTCCTTCTTCTCTTGTTGCCTTTTCCTGGTCTTATTCTGGGGTTCTTAAGGGAGGTATACCCCGCTTGACCCCCCTCCCTTAAGCACCCTATAATCTTATCAGAAAGGCCGGAGGAGGGCCTCTTTGTCCATAGGCAGTCCATTGTTTAGATTTGTCCGTCTAGCCTTGCAACGACAGTTTCGTTGGATGTAGATGCTTTTGGGCGAGCCGTGAAAGCAGGAGCGACTAGTTGCTCAGCAAAAATTCGGCATAATTCACATGTTTATGCCGAACCTTTTCCCAAGCAAACCCTACTTGTAAAGGTCCTTGCCACAGAGATCTAATCCTTTGCAAGCTGCGTTGCTGGCCAGGTCACTTCTCCGGCAGGAAATACAGCAGCCGGAGGCTGGAGGAAGTGCAAGTGCTTTACGCTTCAGTGGCTTATGCTGTTGGAGTGCACTTGGGTTTGGGGCATAGGCTGTCTGCATGTTCAGAGTTCATCCTTTTTGTCAGCATCTGAGTCTGAATCCTGCCAATTGCACGTGAAGCAGTGTGTCTCACAGTGTGTCTCAATGTCAATCGAAATCCGAAGAGCTGCTACTTAGTCGTTGTCGTCATTCTCGCTGTTCAAGCTGCCAACATTTCCCAGCTTCAGTTGGCCCTTCAAGATAGAAGATGCTGGAGTTGCACAGCCTTATGGTGTATGAATGCCTCCCAGCATCTAAGCACACGTGGGTTACACCCCCTAAACCCTAAACCCTAAACCCTAAACCCTAAACCCTAAACCCTAAACCCTAAACCCTAAACCCTAAACCCTAAACCCTAAACCCTAAACCCTGGCAACACATCTTCAAACAAAGGGTCCTGGCACCTCGGCTCCCTTTCGCCTCCCCCCCCCCCCAGAGAAGAACACCGAGCCCCCATGCGCATGGCATGTGAGGAAGATGAGCATCATGCCAACAAAACTTTAACTGAAGCCCCTAAACCCTAATCTCTAAACCCTGAACCCCCAATCCCCCTGGGGGAGCGTCGAGGCCCTTCGACGCAGTCGGAGAAGCCAAAGCCGAAGACCAAGTACATCCGGGCTCCTTCAGGCAGCGGAAACAGTAATGTCCTCCAAGGTGGGTTTAGGGTTGCGGGTCTAGGGATTAGGGGCTTCTGGCTAGCCATGGGCAAGGGATGCGACAGGGGTCATACCTCAGACCTCAAGCTGCAGAATGTTGGAATGTTCCGAACGCGAACATCCCGCAACGGGATGAACTACTCACCAAACCGTTTTTGGCGAACGACCCCCCCCACCCTCCCCTCCCCGCGAATTTTTGAAGCTCCCGCAGGCCCGCGGGCATCGTCCCATCGTCGAAGGCTGCGGCGCGAGTCCTCTGTGGCCACGCTCTTCAGTGGTGCCCCGGGTGGACTTGGGCGGATTCTTTGTTTCCCCAGACGTGCTGCATGGAGCTTCTTACGTCGGAGGGTGAAAGGGTCACAGTTACACAGATTGTTCACAAACCCTGGCCCTTCAACCCCTCAGCATCGAATCTAACTCAGCCGAAAGCTTCCATGCACACACCCAAAACCTTGTGCCTGTGCCCTGCTGATGCGAAGGTGACCGAGCTGGTGGGTTGCTTACGCGTGGTTCTGCCGCGCCCGGGCATCGTAGTAGTACTGGGATGAGGTTCATCTTTTGTTTAGGGGGGTTCAGTGGGTTTGTGGGATTTCGTGTGGTTCTGGATGCAGAATTTCATGGGCGTGCATGGTTAAATGTATCGGTCGAACTCGCTCCATGTGAGCATGTGAGCAATTTGCCTTCGGGATCTTGTCGGTTTGTCCGCAGCTTGCAGCAGGCTGCCGATGCTTGGGGCTCTTAATTCCTTCTTCAATATAATATGGCTCTTTGCCAAGCAGCGCTTGCAGCACCATGTCAGTATGAGAAGCACCAAGAGCGAGCTTGCTTTGAATCCTGTGCCTTGCAGTGTGCGCATTGTGCAATCTTTCCTTCGCCACCTTTGCCATCTTGCATCAAAGAATCTGCTAATAATTGGCACGGTGGGGATGTTTGCAACTCAGCCGCTGCATCGTTTTGGTCGATCAGAGCTTGCTAGCATGGCCCACTAAGGCCCAGCCATCAGTTTAAAGCAACCTCCACTAGGTCGTGCAGACAAAAGCCTTGATCCCAGCCCTGATCACTCAACAGCAGACCCTAAACCCTAAACCCTAAACCCCAAACCCTAAACCCTAAACCCTAGACCCTAGACCCTAAACCCTAAACCCTAAACCCTAGGGTGCAGGAGCTAGCAGTCGACGGAATTCGAACGCAACATGGTCCGAGGTTTGCCTCCCTAGTCGAGAAACCTTCACACGTCAAGCCGGTTTAGGGATTAGGGATTGGGGTTTAGGGTTTAGGGTTTAGGGTTTGGGGTTTGGGGTTTAGGGTTTAGGGTTTAGGGTTGCTTTTGCTGCAAGCCGATGATCCTCCACCCCACCTGCTCTCCAGCTCAGGTGATCTTCCGGCGGCCGGAGCCATGTTGCCTAAATGACGGGGGTCGGATGCCCTAAACCCTAAACCCTAAACCCTAAACCCTAAACCCTAAACCCTAAACCCTAAACCCTAAGCCCTAAACCCTAAACCCTAAACCCTAAACCCTCGAGTGCTTCTGGATCATCGGATGTGCACGCTGTCTTGCATAAACCCTAAACCCTAAACCCTGAACGCTGTTGTCATCCCACGGTTCATGGGTCATCCTGGCTTGGCTGTGGGAGTTCCTTGAACTGGCTGTTCTGCATGTTGATGTTCAAGGCCCTGAAGGTGAACACTAGAGTTTTCCCACCTCGTTCCACGGAATGGTTCAGAACTTTCAGGGACATACCATTAGGATATTGAGATGAAGCGCCTGTGCATTGGACGCCCTGGAGCTTGAAGTCCTCCACCCGGGAGATTTGAGGTGTCAAGCTCTGATCCAACACACAAGCCAAGCTTCTTCAAGATTGGGGCTTTCCAGGTCTGGCTTTTTTTCTTTTTTGGCAAAACTCACGGTCATATAGGTCAAAAGCCGAACATCGCTGCGGAACGCTGTGGAAGGGCTTGCGCTACTACAACCCACGCCACAGCCCAGGAGCGCGATCGCGTTCCACCCCACCAGCGGCCCATCTTCCTTGTTGGCGAGAATGGCACTGACGCTAAAGACTGCGCAGCTTGGGTTAGCAAGTGAGGGGCCCCAAAAGCACGTAAACATAAGGATCCTACTGTCGGGGTAGAAGGGCCCGATAAGGAAGATTCTGGAAACCGTGGTTTGTAGGATCCTTATGTTTCTGTGGCCTTTTGGGTTGCAGGAAGAGCAGCACTTATGTCTGTGGCATCCATGACGTCCAGAAACCTCGTGCCTGTGGAGTAGGGTCCACTAACCGTGCTGCAAAGTGACGTTGGGGAAATCTGGCCGAGTCAAACTCATGCCTGCAGCCGCAAGGTGGATGTGCACAATCCACGAAGGTTTTCCAGCAACGCTACTGCAGTTCAGATGGCTGCTTTTGGGGCAAGGTTCTGGCCAAGTGAGTGCAATCAAGCTGCTTGTTAAGTCCTTGCAATGGCTGAAGTGCCGAAAGCTCAGCTGAAGGCCCGATCTCTGGGAACTCTGAACCTCCAGGACTCCAACGAACTGCGTCGAACTGTTTACGACCGGCTCTTTTGTCTTCTGTGCGCTTCTGTGAATTTGAGCGCTCCCGGTTTGCAGGGAGTTTAACAAAGTCTTTAGCCATAGGATTCCCGGAGTGAATCCTGTGGTGTGGTAGCTTTTTTTGGGGTTTAGGGTTCAGAGTCCCGCCGTCTTCGATGGTGGTGAGCGCGTAGGGTTGTAGGGATTAGGGTTTCAAGACGGTTTGAGAGTTCAGGATTTAACAGATCAGTTAGTAATACAGGGTTGAGGGCTTTCGGATTTTAGGGCTCTGGGGTTGGCAGGGCCATCCTCGTATCCAGCGCTTTTGAAACGGGAAGAAGATACGAGGCCCCCAAAAACAGTTACGAGGACGGCGAACTAGCAGAAATACAATGGGAGGGTGGAGGAAGGAAGGGGGGACCCCATGAGGCGGGGGAGGGGAGGGGCCTGGGAGCCCTGGATCATGCTTGGTCATTGGTTTCACACTCCCTTGAAATATCGCGCCACGCAGCGCGCCGTGGAGTCTACGAAAGCACCGAGCCTCTGAAATCCGATGCACGAAGAATGAAGCCCTCCCATCTGCGCGCTATTGAAGCCTGCAGTGACCAGGCACCGAGCGAACCTTCGCCCAGCGCGGCCTGCGCTTCGCGGCGCGAGAGGCAGAGATGATCCCAGGTGCCCGATGGCAGTTGCAGATTGCGAGCCGACAAATGTGGCACTCACCTCATAGCATGTGACTTTAGATCAACCATTTGGGTAGTCCTTGGAATGATCAAGATGATATCAAGATGTTCAGGTGTGCCCAAATCTGACGTGTTCATCAAACCTTCCTGCTTGCATCCGCAGCAATCTGCGCACAGACTCTCCTCTCGTGCCTTGGTTGGTGGCACTTTGTGGTGCAGTCAGCACAGATATCTTCCGACACGCCCCGCGCGCTAGTCACGTCGCATGTCGACAGAAGCATCTCGAAGCCGCAAGGCAACCAGAATGAATCCTGAAACAAGCTTGATTCCGCACTTAAACCCTAAACCCTGAACCCCAAACCCTGAACCCTAAACCCTAAACCCTAAACCCTAAACCCTAAACCCTAAACCCTAAACCCTAAACCCTAAACCCTGCGTGGAACAAGCAGAAGCTCTTCGCAGGGCAGCGGCCCATCTCTGTTTCCTCCAGCACAAGCTCGGCGAGCAGTCCCCGGGCTGGCAGCAGAATGTTGCGGTTTAGGGTTGAGGGTTTAGGGTTGAGGGTTTAGGGTTTAGGGTTGAGGGTTGAGGGTTTAGGGTTGAGGGTTGAGGGTTGAGGGTTTAGGGTTGAGGGTTGAGGGTTTCGGGTTTAGGGTTGAGGGTTTAGGGTTGAGGGTTTAGGGTATCGTATCCTTGTATGCGCGCAAGGCTTGCCAGTCATTTCAAAGACAAGGGGCAGTTTCCATCAAACGCTGCGGCGAGATAGTCCATGGAGGTAGACCAGCACTTGGGGAAGGATACATTGGCACCCACGCTCACAGCAAAACTCCCAAACATCCTGCAATGACGACTTCGGAATACAAGGAATATAGGTTTAGGGTTTAGGGTTTAGGGTTTAAAGGGTTTGGGGTTTAGGGTTTAGGGTTATATGAGGGCCTGTAGGGATTTGAAGGCTTTTGGAGACCTGTGACTGCTAAGGGCCTGTCTCCGCCGCCGACTTTGGCCACGTTTCGGCATTCCGGCCGTTGAGCGAAGGTGCCATCAGGCCCGGCCTATGAAGGTTTAGGGTTTAGGGCTTAGGGCTTAGGGTTTAGGGTTTAGGGTTAGGGGAGTCTTCGTTGCTCGGCTTACCGCGCTTGTTGATCTCCTTTTTTTTTTTTGGCGGGGGGGTTGGGTTGCTCGGATTTCTGGAGCCCATGCTTGCCTTCTGTAGGGGACTGGCGATATGATCGCGAATGCCCATGCCCTCGACATCCTTGAAACCCACAGCCCCAAGACAAGAGCCCGGAACAAGATGAAAGAGGCTTGAACGCAACACTGCCGGGCACCACCCTGTGAGTAGAAGCTGCAGGTAAGTCAGCAGCGGATGGCAGCGGCGCCGTGCCCAAGCAAGAATGCGGCAGCGTTGGGGGGACTAAGAGGCGCACAACTCCCCGAGCTTCTCCTCTGAGTGGTTGGGGGACGGAGACTTGTGGAAAGAGACTTTGAGTCGCTGAGAGTGGATCTCAGGTGCGGTGACGCCGACCTACTGAAGAGCAGTAGCAGCATATTGTCGCAGCAGAGGCATGGAGAGACCTTGGGGACTGAAGGTCTGGTTTATCTTGGCATGTGAGGAAGAAGAGCTTTCTGCGCTTTGCTTGCCCCCACCGTGCCTTTGTTGTTTCCCACTGCAAAAAGTCGACTTCATCTGGCCTCGAAGAGACCGGGATTTGACTGCACCCGCTTGCCACCCTCATACCAGAGTCCTATAGAGCCAGGGGCTTCAGAAACATGTCCTCAGCCGTCGACGCCCTGCTTTCAAAAGCATGCGCGAACCTTGCGCACGCTCCCAGACCAAATCGGCAGAACGGTGAGGTGACTGGGATCTGGAGGGAAGCCCCAGTACAGTAGAGCTACTCCCGAGCAGGTTTCTACACAAAGAGAGAGGACGCAAGAAGGCAGTAGTAAATTTGGTCCGAGCTATGGTGCACATATTGAGTTTTGGCTCTGTCTTCGCTGCAAAGCAGCTGTCATGAGAATGGGAGCACTAGGCTGCGAATTGTGCGAGTATCAAAGCTGCAACAGGAAAGGCTTCACAGGACAAGGTGGAATTTTCTGATGCCGTTGCCTGCTTGTTCTGACGAGGAGTGGTGATCTGATTGAACAATCCCGATCCAACTAAACGACTGGGAGATCAAAAACGTGTAGTAAGACGAAGAAGGGCGATATATGCAGATCCTCATCGCATGGCTGAGAGTGAAGCAGATTTTGTAGACTACCCGCTACCCAGTATCTTACCGAGCACTTTTGCTCTTCTTGACGATTCTTAAAAAAGTCTGGCTTCTCCACACCTGGGAAAGCAGATCCTGAAGCAAGTTCCAGCCATGCTCCCAAAACTTTGCAGACCAGCTGGCACTTAAGAAGAGTGCCCCTGGGCATCACTGCACTGGGTTGTGGAAGTCACGGGGCCAAGGGCTGAGGGCCTTGAGGGATGCCCGGCTCCCTGCTGTTCCGGGCCTGTGAGGTTTGGGGTTTTAGGGTTTTAGGGTTTTAGGGTTTTTGGGGTTTTAGGGTTTTAGGGTTTTAGGGTTTTTAGGGTTTTAGGGTTTTTAGGGTTTTAGGGTTTTAGGGTTTTTAGGGTTTTAGGGTTTTGGGGTTTTGGGGTTTTAGGGTTTTAGGCTTTTAGGCTTTTAGGCTTTTAGGCTTTTAGGTTTTTAGGGTTTTAGGGTCTTAGGGTTTTAGGGTTTTAGGGTTTTAGAGGTTTTAGAGGTTTAGGGGTTTAGGGGTTTAGGGGTTTAGGGGTTTAGGGGTTTAGGGGTTTAGGGGTTTAGGGGTTTAGGGGTTTAGGGGTTTAGGGGTTAGGGTTACTTGGCATTGCTTTGCGTCTTGGCAACATGTTGAGGAGGACTCGTCTCTTGCAGGCGGAAGTGAAGATTACGCAAGATGTGCTTAATGCTGTGTTTGTTGCTCGCCTGACAGCGCTTGGCCTTGTTTCCACCGGCCGTAGCCCGGACTGTGGAGAGGTGACGAGGTGTGTTTTTAAACCCCTCAGAGCCTGGCGAGGGCGTAGCGGCCCATCAAACACGCTACTGACAGTGGTGATTACTGCGCAGTCTTTGCACCTTAGTCCAGCAAGTGGTTAAAGCATTCAGTCTCTGCGCAGAGCTCAGCACGCAGTAAATGTGCCACAGCGAAGAAGGGACACCCGTGCAAAAAATCTTGGAAGCAGCGCCTCCTCTGTTTGTGCTGTGGCTTGGGATTATGTTGTGTTGTGAGTGATGGAGAAGTGTCTTCTGCAATTCAAAAGCACTTCGATGAACACCCAGCAGACCCCCCCCCCCATCCACCAAGACTCAAAATGTGCTTGCATGAACTAAACTTCTCTACATGTACTTGAAGGGGCTGCAAAGCTCATTCCCAAAAATGTAAACGAACACTACTGAAATCGCAAACCTGAGGCCGTTTAACCATTGTTGGCCTTGGTTCAGGTCGTGCGCCAGCAGGAGGCCGTTCGCCTCAACCAGTCGGCGGTTCACCGTGAGGAGGCTGCTAAGGCCAGGTGGTGGTTTGATTTGGCTGACGGAAAGATCACTGGGTTCGGGGCCCTGAGATAAATGGCGACCTGGTTAGGATTCGTGAGTTACTCGTGCCCCTTGAAAGCCACACTAGAACACGCGTGCTCCTCGGTGAAGTGCAGAACTGACCGCATCGAAAATTGTACTCCGTCTGCGCCATGCATGATGCAAATGGCGCCGCCGCCTCACTCCTCACCCCAACCCACCACCCTCCTCCCCCAACCCACCACCCTCCTCCCCAACCCCTCCCCCATCCCCACCCCCCACCCTCACCACGTCTCGCATCCCATGTCCCTCTCCGTAGCATCCGCAACAAGGCTTTCTTGAAGCTGATTATGCCAAAGTGTTCTGGGTGTATACAACGAAGAATTTGCTTCATGGTCTTCAACGTCGGTTCCAAGGCCAACGAATGCTGGCAAGGGTCACCGAAAAGGAAAAGGAAGGGAGCATCCGCGTGGGGCGGTGGGGAGGGGGCGGAGGGTGGTGAGTGTCATGGACAGAAGCCAGCAAGCACTGTCAGCAAGCAGACATTGGTGTCGCCCACGTCTGCTCCTCCCATCACATGGAATCCCTTGAGAACGATGTCTGCTTGCAGAGTCTTGCGAGCGCCTAACTGGCCCAGACCCCTGAAAATGTCCAGACCCAATCTTCAGGAGCTGCGTGACGAAGCTGCAAAGCTCATCCAGCGCATGGCACGGGCAGCAGAGGAGGTGTTCCCACCGCCGCCCAGAGCTTTCAATGAGGTTTGAGATTGGGGGCGCTGAGGGTTCTTTGGGGTTATCCATGGAAGGTACAGAGTTTCGGTGAGACTTAGAACCATGGGGAATGTCCTTGTTCGAGCCATGAGCAGGAGGTGAAGCTTTGGCGTCTGTTGGGCCTCATGTGGCCGACCTGCCTAGAATGAACATGTATGATGTTGTATAGATACCTTGGACCGGGAGTAGGCCCTTTTTTTCTTTTTAAGGGTTGGGGTTCCCTTATACCCCCCTTAAATCCAAAAAGGGTACCTTGTTAAATCCTAGGTTACTCCCAGGTCTAGATACTCCGCTACAGATGCTTTCCTTCAGAGTCCTGGGGGCGTCTACAAGTCGGCAAGCAGTGGTGCTTTTGTACCCGGGGGGCAGTTCCCTGATGGTGAAGAAGGAGCCACCCCAGCTCGGTTTAGGGTTTAGGGTTTAGGGTTTAGGGTTTAGGGTTTAGGGTTTAGGGTTTAGGGTTTAGGGTTTAGGGTTTAGGGTTTAGGGTTTAGGGTTCAGGGTTCAGGGTTCAGGGTTCAGGGTTCAGGGTTTAGAAGCATAACAACGCTAAAGCTCTGTAAGCTAGCGGAGCAAGCACACGCCAACCGAGTTCCGAAATGGTTGTGGAACTGTGGACCTCAACTGGTCCAATTCTGAAGTGTAGCTGTACAAGATACAAGAAATCTCAGGTTTTCAGCATGTCCGATCGACCAGGCCCAAGCATGTGGCAAGTGGAGTAGTGGAGATGCGAATAGTGCCCTGAAGCTTCTCAGAACCCTTGCAGCTAGTGATCTCATGTGATCTCTACACTTAAGAGTGTCGCAAGAGACTGTCGCTCATGAGAAGTGTGCATTCAAAAGTCCTTGTAGCCACCATGGCGGTCAGTTCGGATGAGGTCAAAGGCGAGCGCCCCAGCGAACTGCAAGCCCGTACTTCCAAGTTCGATTCGTTCCAGGAGTTGGTCCACTCAGGCGATGCTGACATGAGCGAATCCATGACGGAGCTCATCAGCAAGGTTTCCAGACGATGGGCTGAACAGTCGGAAACATGCTTGGAGATACTCTGCCGGTCAGAGATAGACAGGGACCGAGCTGCGAACGTGGGTGTGTCGTGGCGTGTGCAGGGGGTGGGGGAGGGGGGGAGGGGCTTGCCCTTCCTTCGTGCTCAGCAGCACAGGAGAGAGACACAGAGGGGGGAAGGACAGAGAGAGGGAATGACATTTGGCAGATCTTGTTCGGAAGGCCCCGAACTCCAACATGCGAAGCTCTCAGCCGTCTTAGCCACCCAGGGTGAACCCTCCAAGCTCCTAGTTTTCAGCACCCGAAACCCCTGGCATCACGACATGCTGCCTGGGCGCAACCTGCGCTCCTCTATCTCCGACATCCTTTAGCAACTTTAGCACAGCCTATGAGGCACAATAATTCCTGAACCCGTGACGCATGCAGGCCGACATCTCCACGGTTCCACAGCAGGCACAGGAGGCTGGCGTGGCCCTTGATATCAGGTCTCAGAGGGTTCAGTTCATGTAATTCAGACGTCAAGCAAAGATGTGGTTTCGTTGGCTGCAAGGTTGCAGTCCCATGTGTTGCGAGACGTAGTCTGCACTTCCCTGGAACCTTTTGCGCAAGTTTTCCGTCCGTCTTCTTGCAGGGTGTGCCGTGCATGACCTGAGTAGGGGGCTGCTCTGGTCATCTGAGAAGCGGTCCGACAGCCTCAAAACACCCTGCGCCCTTGCCACGACCAGCTGCTGCTACTTTTGTCGGCTCTCAGTGCGGTTTCATGGGGGCGGAGCAGCGGCGATCCTGAGCCCAGGAGGATGGACCAAGGGAAGCTTGCAAAGCGCAGCAGGATTTTAGGTCGAGGGCTTGAGGCGCACGATGCCAAGACTCTACAGACTCTGAATGTGAGACTTCTGTAGGTGCAGAGAGAGTGTCGAACCCCCAGGCAACACTCCTTTCCGATGATTGCCAGCCCACTCAACCCGCATCCTTGGGCCCCGAGCCAACAGGCCAGAGCTCCAGACGACTAGAACCGCCAAGCTCCACAACCCTCAACAAAACTCATCCGAGCCTACGACAAGTAGGCCCAACCCCCGATTCAGAAGGAGCATCGCCGCACGTGCGAGCGATGTCCGACAGCTCCTGGCAGACAGACAAGCTAGCCCGGGACTCGGTGTGGTCGGGTTTAGGGTTTACGGTTTAGGGTTTAGGGTTTAGGGCATCAGTAGATCTGTGCGGCAACCCGACTCTACGTTCAACAAGCCGACCGGGCACTTCGAACAGGACTTGCCTTCACCCTATGGAACAGCGAACGGCTGCATGATTTGGCTTGCGTCTGGGCACTGCCTTCTTGCCCGCCCCTTTTATCGATGTCTTTCGCATACTCCGGCCCGGCCTTCTGCTAGGAACTTCTCGTGCTGTGACGTTGTAATTGCTGTACTGATTTGGCATTCAACAAAACCCACAATGCTTCACACAGGCTAATGTTTCACCTCACTGCCACCTCGGATTGAGCATCGTCCTCCCGCTGGGGATCTTGGTCTTCAGTCTACTCGTTGGGTTCGTCAACCACCCTGAGTACTCCCTTTGTCTTCAGAGCTATATACTTTCGGAACCAAAATCTCGGCTTGTGCGGAGCATCTCGGGGTCATGAGTCATAATCCTTGGCCTTCAGCAGCTCCCCGAACTCCCGGTTTCGCCTCCTCGGCTGACATTCTCGGGTGCCTTTGGCGCAAATGGCCTTCGGACTTCTCTCGGCTTTGACTGCACCAATCCAGTCCTCCGGCCCCACCAGCATGCAGACCAACTTTTGTGAGGCTGCCGTGCAGGGACGGTAGATCGTTTCGATCGGTAGACCTCGCGACTGGGCAGTCCATGAGGTTGCTTGCGATTGCAGCTCAATCAATCCCAGGATATCCTCATGCTGCGCACCTGGGACAGTGCCCATCAGCTGCATCCGCACAAACACATCCTCAAATCTCGTCCGGCTTCGTCGCCCTAGATAGTTAAGGTTGCCTTGTCTGCGGGTTTGTCGATGTTATTAATTAGGGGTTTTGGGTTTAGGGTTTAGGGTTTAGGGTCTCGTGTAAGGGTCTAGGCTTTGAGTCTCGGGTGTCGGGTTTGGCGCATGCAAGGCTCAGGGGGCTGAGGCGACTTCTGGCCTGGTGTACGTACCCTAAACCCTAAACCCTAAACATATTCGTAATATTAGAAATATGAGTAAGATTAGTACTATTAGTAATATTCAACAAGAATATGAATAGTAGATATTAAACCCCTAAACCCTAAACCCTAAACCCTAAACCCTAAACCCTAAACCCTAAACCCTAAACCCTAAACCCTAAACCCTAAACAACAACATGAATAGTAGCCAGAGTTTCGCAACGCCCAAGGTGTTGACCATCAGCGTCGGCAACTCAAGGAGCCCCTTGGCTGCCGACGCGGTGATGCTCAGAGGTAGTGGGGGGTACTTCTGGGCCCCCTAAACCCTAAACCCTAAACCCTAAACCCTAAACCCTAAACCCTAAACCCTAAACCCTAAACCCTAAACCCTAAACTCTAAACCCTACTTCTGGGCAGCCACTGTTGAACATTCTGTTCCTAAAAATTGAAGATTTTGTTGGTCGCCGCGGTTGGTTTCTTGAGTCTTGTCAATGTTCAAAAGAATCCGGAAGGAGTAGAGGTTTTCGGCGTCCAAGAGCCTCAGGGCCCTTTTGGGACTGAGCGTATCGTCGCTGCGACCACGAGCTTCCAAAGCACACCCATCCCTTCCAAAAGACTTCGTCAGGCTGAGCCGCTAAGTCCTATCCAGATGTCTGCAAGCTTATGGGTTTTCGGGCTTCAAGTCTGCTGGACCCTGCTAAAACCGCGCAACAGAAGGTTCACGTCTTATCACAGTAGGGAGCTCCTGCAAGACGAGATACACCTTTGTGCTTCTGGATACGGGTCTTGAATCTACTCCCGCCCAGAATTCCCAAGAGTGCTGGGCCGATACCCGGCTTCGGAGGCTGCTACAGGGTCCAGCTGAAGTTCAAAGACCTGTGCATCCAGATGCTCAGCTGCAAGTGCCACTGCCTGTAGACTCCAAATAGGTTTAGGTTTTAGGGAACCCCCCCCGTCCCTCCGACATCTTGATGTGCTTGCGCCGTCAGCTTTGGAGAGCGCTTTGGACGGTCCTTTCTGCGAGTAGCGAGATGCCAAGCTGCAGTCATCTTATGTAGGCTGAAAAGGCTCGCAAGAGGAGTGGAAGAACATGCAAGGCACTTACGGGAAATAATTGTCATCTCCAAGCGCCATGCCTAGACCCTCTGAGCTTCAAACAATAAACCCCCGAATCCGCCAAACGACATGCAAACTGAGGTCTGAGATCCTGGATCATATGGCAGCTGCCATCGACAGTTGCGTGCGGGGCTCCAGATCAATCGCTTGCGATAAGAGCCACGAACCCGAATGAAGACGCATGTCACTTCTTCCTCGACCTTCTAGAACCCGAATGCAAGCAAGCTACAGCACGGCACAACAACTAAGATTAAGAGAACGGAAGCTAAAGATACGAGGATATTACACGAAGACACTCCACGCAGGCACGCCACGCAGGCACGACGCCAGGCCATAATAGGAAGACACCTGTGTGTGTGTGTGGCACGAAAGCACGGCACGAACACGGAAAGGCATTCGAAGACCCGCTACGAAGACGCGAGGAAAAGACACGAAGAAGCGATGCAAAGACATGAAGACGTGACACGAAGACAATCCACAGGGCACGGTCCAAAAGCGATGACAGTTAGGAAATTTGGACGTTGCAAGGGTCGTGACCCTCGGGTGGGGACCTCGTGGGAAACATCTGAGACGCGACGACTATGCGAAGGTCCAAAAGCGATCAGGGGCCCCATCCTTGTGACAGTTGGCACTGTTGAAGGTTTCGCAGACCGAAACGAGGAGTTCAAAGTTCCTACCCTAAACCTGAAACCCTAA